TTTTGATCCTAAAGTTTTTATTTTTTTATTGATCCCTTTTTATTTTTATTTTGATCCGGCAGCCATGCTGTGTGGGGTGGTCGTCCTCGTCCCCGTCGTCTTCCTCTTCCTCGTCCTCGTCCTCGTCGTCGTCGTGCGGTAGCAGCAGTAGCAATCGGCGAGGCAGGGGTGACAGCAGCAGCATCATCGGCAGTAGCAGCAGCAGTAGCTGGAGGACGATCCAGGGCGTAGTTTGAAGTCAATGTGACCAGAATGCACACGGCTGTCATTGTCTTTGCTCCTCTTGGCCACCTGCTCACTAACTACAACCATGCGTGCTGCTTCGCCACCACCGCACTCCATCTTCTCCGAATCAGTTTAGTCATCATCACCATCGCCACTATCATCATCACCATCACCGCCGTCACCGCCGTCACCACCACCACCATCACCACCATCACCACCATCGCCACCAGCACCACCAGCACCACCAGCACCACTAGCACCACCAGACCACCAACATCACCATCATCACCATCACCCCCATCACCCCCATCACCCCCATCACCCCCATCACCCCCATCACCACCCTCACCACCCTCACCACCCTCACCACCACCACCACCACCACCACCACCACCACCATCATCGCTATCATCACCACCCTCATCGTCATCATAAACGTCGCCATTATTACCGTATCTCCTCCTCCTCCTCCCGTCCTCCGAAGAAGTCTGGCTCCGACTCAGCGCCGGCCTTGTTATCACCGTCATCGTCGTCGATTCGACAACCCTGTCGCGAGATTTGCTAAGCGACAAGGCGAGAAGGAAAATGTAATGGAGAACAACAGAAGATGGATGATACAGCTTTTTTCAAAACATCCCGGCATTGCGGTACTTGGTAAAGGGGTGGTGAGCAAGTGATTCTGATAGCGCTTGTCCAGCTCCCAGGAACGAAGCCTGGACTCTCAGAAGCAGAAGTTCATGGAGAAGCTGGACCAAGAGAAAACAGAGCAGCTTGGTTGCGTTCATCATCCTGTCCTCATACATCGTCAGAATTTGCTTTGAAGGTATGAGCGGGACATGGCTAGCTACCAGGAGGATTTGGAATGGCTCAGAGGTTTGCACCTGGGCTGCATGCTCCTGTGAGCCGACCATGGGTGCAGTTGACCGACGGATCGACACTCGTGGGTCATTAAGGAACGACTACTCGCTGGCCATGAAATGCGCTCATCGCATCTACTCTCTGAAAGACTGCCTCTCAGCATCCAGCACCTGGGCAATGTACATCTTTGGTAGGCATTCCTGGTCTCATGCGCAGGAGAACTTGGAGAAGGCCGTGGTGCGGGTGCAAAGCTTCGTGGACAGAGAGCGGCTGTTCGGCCGGAGCCTAAAACCCTCTGCTGTGCAATAAATGAGCAGCTAGCAGCAACTTCCATGGAACAGACAAGCGTGGCAGATTTGGTCCTACACAGGCATGGAAGTGTCCGACTACTCCGCTGTGGAGGTCATGAGCGAGGAGCGCAAGCCCTTGCAGCTTCAGAACACACCCCTCCGCCCCTCGGTAGAGCCAGCTGTAGGCCTTCGAGCCGTACTACAAGCTCTGGAACAGTGCCATTGACTTCAAGCACTCAGAGGCCTGCGCCGCCGGTGCCATGCATGTTGTCTCCTACTACTACGACTAGTTACTACTACTACTACTACTACTACTACTACTACGACTGCTACGACTACTACGACTGCTACTACCACTCTACTACTACTACTACTACTACTACTACTACGACTGCTACGACTACTACGACTGCTACTACC